AACTAACTAGAAGATGATATTAAAAAACAATACTATTAATAATGCATCAAAAAACAAAACATATGGAAATAAATTTAGTGAATAATGTATAAGATTTCTGTAAAATATTACAGACAGAAATTAAAGATCTAAATAAATGGAGAGTTTATACCATGTTCACGTATTGCGAGACTTAATATTATTAAGATACCAATTTTCAGGGCACCTGGGTGGCTCAGTGGGTTGAGCCTCTGCCTTCAGCTCAGGTCATGATCTCGGGGTCCTGGGATTGAGGGCTCTCTGCTCAGCGGGGAGCCTACTTCCCCCTCTCTCTCTGCCTACTTGTGATCTCTCTGTCAAATAAATAAATAAAATCTTAAAAATAAAATACCAATTTTCCTCAAATTGATGTATAGATTTAACACAATCCCAATTAAAATCCAAGTAAGCTTTTTTGTAGAAATTGAATCCAATGATACTGATGTAAGATCAACAAATATACAAATGGAACAGATAAGAGGCAGACTTGTATCTGTTGAACCTACTAGAGGGAACAAGTTTTAATTTCCCTGGAGATTAGTTGCTAAAAGTAACAGGAATTCTGTTAGAATGGTATCTTATGTATAACAATCTCAGGTATGAATTCCAATTAACCTTAAAATGAGATGAAAAGAGACTACAATAGTGTAATAAAGAAACGTTTTCCTTTGTTTTTCATGTCTATTTAGTAAATACAAATCAGGTACATCCCTGGTAAAACACCAGATAATCCTTTTTCATTGTTGTTGTGTTTTGAAGAATAGTAAAATGAATTTTCTTAGTGTGCATCTATGGGTTGTATATAATTTGGTTTATGGAATAGAAAAAGTCTGTACCACATAAAAGGCACTATCGATGGAACTAGGAAACTGGAAGAGTGCTGGGAGTTGTTTAAAAGAATAAAAGAATTCTCAACTCAGTGGAATTTAAATAAAAACAAAAGAAAAAGAAGTAAAGAATTTAACTAACATTTGAATAATTTTCAGGTATTTTATAAATGCTACAAATGCCTTTACAGCTAAGAATGTATTTTTAACCATGGAAGGGAAAGAACAGCCTTTAAAACAATGGGTCAGATATTTCATTAAGAACTCACTTCAGGAAGCCTGAGCATTTGTAGGAAATAAAACACACTAAAGGTTATGTGACTAGCAGAGGACAGAGATCAGCATAAGTACAGGGTGTGTCATATGACAGTATGTGTTACTTACTCAGTAATCATGGCAAGTAAAGAAGCAGGCAGAGAGGGGAGATGACTTCATAATTCTAAACCAACAGAAATCTTAGAAGAAAGAAATAAGAAGAGTGAATGTCTTGCTGACAAAACAAAGTTGGAGGATACTAATGTAAGACGTGTGGCTGTCTTAGCAGCCCATGTTGCATTTCTATTGTATATAAGATAAGAGAAGACTTGCCAATTTGTATTTTTCAGATTTAAAAGAAAAGAAAAGACACTACCAGAAAAAAAATCTGTTCCTCTTCAAATTCTTCCCCTTAAAATGGCCATCTCCACCCTAAAATCAGAAACCAAACCAGTAAGAACCAGCAATAAGAACTAAAATATATGCTGCCAAAACCTTGACTGTATTAAGTTATATGTTAACAATATATTCTATGTGAACTACTAATTGATAAATGTGCTGGTCAAGCCAAAAGATTTGCTTTAATGTTTTCCTCTACTTCTGCCCTTTTAAATGAACTTCATGATATGTTTAAATGCTGTTCTAGAATGTTCAGTGTGGAACCAAATCCATATTTCATGCTTATCAAGTATAATTGTTCAGAAATGTTTGGTGCTCCCAGACACTGGGACTCACTTCATTACACAATTTGAAACTTTTCCTTCTATAATTATAAAGTTCTGAACCAAAGCTAAGAATGACCATTAATCATACATAACGAAGATAATAGATCAAATAAAATTATTTGATTCAACGTAAGCTGCACTTTTATTAGGATGTACCAGTCAGACAATTTGTTTAAATTAGTGTTCAGGGACGCCTGGGTGGCTCAGTTGGTTAAGCAGCTGCCTTTGGCTCAGGTCATGATCCCAGCGTCCTGGGATCGAGTCCCACATCGGGCTCCTTGCTCATCAGGGAGCCTGCTTCTTCCTCTGCCTGTGCCTGCCATTCTGTCTGCCTGTGCTTGCTCTCTCTCCCTCTCTCTCTCTGACAAATAAATAAATAAAAAAATCTTTAAAAAAAAAAAATAAAAAATAAAAAAATAAATTAGTGTTCAAATTAAGAAAACATGAATAATTTAAAGATTAATGTAAAAACAAACTTAGGTGAATATACATATAACTACACAGGATTTATGATATATCTGTAGAATTCTCTAGTCAGTATTTTTTCATATATGTAATATTAATAAAAAGGATTATTTAAAACCATACAACAATTCTGGGATTCCCTAAATTTTCAGCAGCTGCATTTTCTACTCTACATCTGGCAGGTTCTTCTTCCTTTCAGTTTATACATTTCCTGTATTCCAAAAAGTAAATAAAAACAGTACCTTAATTGAGGAAATGGTGAGTCTTTGGCTAAGGAAATACAGCCACAGATAAGCACTTGTACTTTGCAACTGGGGTTTGTTTTATAAGGGAGACTACTTAGCAAAGTATTACTCATGATCATCATGACAGAATGGAAGGTGGCTTTGTATGGACTCTTTCCTCTCTTGTCTAACTCTTCAGCAGTAATTTAGGTTTTCTCTTAGATCATATTATCTATTTAGTGTATGTATATACTAATTCAGTATACATTTAAGATGTCTGAAAGAACTGAAGGTACAACTAGGAAACACTTGGATCTGAGTAGGTAATTCAAAAACAAGTCAATGACACAACCAAGAATATAACAAAAAGGTTGCTATTTCCTATCTTGCACTTCTAAAAACATGTGGTACTCTCTTGTGCTTTAAAGTAACAAACTACTGGGGTGCCTGGGTGGCTCAGTGGGTTAAAGCCTCTGCCTTTGGCTCAGGTCATGATCCCAGGGTCCTGGGATAGAACCCTGCATTGGGCTCTCTGCTCGGCGGGGAGCCTGCTTCCCCTCCTTCTCTCTGCCTGCCTCTCTGCCTACTTGTGATCTCTGTCTGTCAAATAAATAAATAAAATCTTTAAAGTAACAAACTACAACTCATAATTTAGGACATTTTCTTAATTCTGACATTAATGTATTGAAAGTGTTTGGACTAGCCTTACATGCAATTTCACTGGCTTCTCAGAACTGCAAATGAAGAGATAACACAAAGAAACTACAACCATTGTTGATGACTACTCTAATAACTCTGTTTCAAGGTCACTCTTAGAAAGGTCACTTTTAAGCAGTTCTACACCACATGAGTAAGGAGAGATTTCCCCTTCCAATTTATTTATGTATTTTTTTAATGAAAGAACTGTATGAAGAGTTCCTTTCTTCCTGTGTTGGAATATAAATTTAGTTCCAGAGGCTCTCATAGGACAGTAGGATAAACACAGGCAGCACACTACTGGGAGCCTAATACACAAACTCGGGAGTCTCATTTTAGTCATTCAAAAAGTGTGCAAAGAGTGTGCTGCTCAACATCCTGGGACATCAGTAAGTCACCCAAGTTTAAGAATTTAAAGCCACCTTATCACTTCCTATAGTGAACCAAAAGATGACCATTAAAGACTTTCTTGTTCTGTCTAAAAAATATCTCTTTCCTGCAAAGAGGACTGTGGAGTTCTTAAGTTCTAAGCCAAAAATAAGGCATAAGCATCAATATGAAGATGAACAGAACAGTTATCTGGTAACTCTTTAATCCAAATGACTTAGAGACTGAATAGACATAGGGAAAATATCTTTTAATATGGTTTGGAAGTTTCACTATTTTTCTAATTTCTCCAAATTTCTTTAATAACTATGCGCTAACTTTATCATGAATAAAAAATGTAATCAATTTTATTTATAAAATAAGAAGCTGATATAATGAAATTGATGACCTTATAAATGTGTAGAATAGAAGGCCATCTACATGATTTAATTAAGTGGGTGCTGAGCACAATTCCCCTCCCTTAAAGAATGTCTTTAGAGAGTATGCATTTGGGTACTGAGGATCTTCAAGATTTCTGAATGAAATTCAAGACTCTGGTGGGTAGGGATTGGGACTTTTTTTTTTAAGATTTATTTATTTATTTGAGAGAGATAGAGAGAACATGAGAGGAGAGAGGTCAGAGGGAGAAGCAGACTCCCTGCTGAGCAGGGAGCCCGATGTGAGACTCAATTTGGGGACTCCAGAATCATGACCTGAGCCGAAGGCAGTCGCCCAACCAACTGAGCCACCCAGGCGCCCCAGACATTTTTTTTTTAATGAAGATTTTATTTATTTATTTGACAGACAAAGATCACAAGTAGGCAGAGAAACAGGCAGAGAAAGAGGAGGAAGCCGGCTCCCTGCTGAGCAGAGAGCCTGATGCGGCCTCGATCCCAGGATCCTGAGATCAGGGCCCAAGCCAAAGGCAGAGGCTTAACCCACTGAGCCACCCAGGCGCCCCGAGATTGGGACATTTTAACACAGTTATCTGATAGCTGGCTGAGAACAAATGTTATATAGAACAGTGGACAGCAAAGATAAACTGAAAACAGGAATGGAGGAGCTAATGATAAATACATACGTTCCTATGGCTAGTATAACTATATGTTCACAACATTATTTGTTTCCTCTGGCATGGTTTGGCTGCCCAATATTATGTAATACACATAACATACATAATACTTTCCCTGGGTACCATATATTCTAATCACTCAACATTCAAATGAGGGCTGGTATTAATTACCCCCCAAAATAACTTTTATTTAACATGTCATTTTAAGAGAATATAGACCTGTTTCTCATGTTCAAAGACTACATAATTTTGAATTTTTATATAACTTTCCAATAGTAATAACTAAATTTACATACCAAGTCAAGGGTTCCAAATGACATTCCATACTAAAACTATAAACAGAAATTTTTACCTCATGTTTTTCTTGATTTTCATCCACATTAAGTAAAGTTGGTATTTTAGATGAATCTGTTTTCTTTGATTCCCTCTTCAGCACTTTTATCTGTTTAACTTTTGCAGAAATATATACAATGACAACTTGTTATTCCTACCTTTAAATTTTACTTTCCTTTCTAAGAGTTTCAAATAGAAATTCTGATATCTACTAAAGTCAATTTCTCAGTTTATTATAAAGGAACTGAATAAATCATCAGTTGTAATGGTAAAATATGCCAATCATAAAGGATCTGTTTTATAACTTTATGAATAGCCTGCCAGGTATTAAAAGAAGACATTTATTTTTTTAAAATTCTGCCCATAACTGTTAAGTGGATCAGATAATTCCTTTTGAACTGTACAAGTACTATTTTCTTGCTATTATAGTTACTTTTCACAAGGTGTCACTGTTCTTCAAAGAAACAAAACATTTACTGTGCAAAAAAAAAAAAGAAGTTTCATTTTAAGAGCTCAGTACATGTTATAAGTCTTAATTTACTAAATCTTTGAATGCCTGAAGCACATACATTCCTACTATTATCTGGGCAAAATTCACGGGGAAACAAAGGAAATTGATTTACTCTAGGTCGTAGACCAAACCAAAACCACTTTCCTCAAATACTGTCCTGAAGTTTCATTGAGCCAAGGAAAAATATGCTTTTAAAGTTTTCTCAATTCTTCTTTAAAAATTCTCTCCTTCAAGTCTTACCCCTTATTGGACTATGAGAGAAAAATTTCTCCTCAGCTGATATTTTTCACAGCAATTTACTATCTTTTATCTAAATCACATCATAAATGTAAGTTATCTTACAAAAAAAGGTCTTCTTATAAAAGATACCATCTGAAAATTTTTAAAGCTGGGCGACAAATATGTACCTTCCATTCCTTTCACCTCCTTGGGCTGTACCGTGAAAGGTAGTTCTGGGAAATGGAATTCCTTCCTGTCAGATCTGGAAAAATTCAGCTTTCTTTTGTTTCCATTTGCCATTTGGTCATTTGGACCTGTTCGCTCATTAAATACACTCTTCTCCATTTGGTTCTAAACAAGGAAATAAACAAGAGTTAATTTGAAAAAAAGATGTATAACTGTTTTTTTTTTTTTAAAAAGACTTTATTTATTTATTTGACAGAGATCACAAGTAAGGAGAGAGGTATGGCAAGAGGAAGGGGGGGGGGGGGGGCGGGGAAAGCAGGCTCCCCGCTGAGCAGAAAGCTTGATGCGGGGCTTGATCTCAGGACCGTAGGATCATGACCTGAGCCGAAGGCAGAGGCTTTAACCCACTGAGCCATCCAGGTGCCCAGTATAACTGTTTTTTGAATGATAAGCCTAAAATTGCCATCCATTTGGAAGGTAATAAGTAAGATAGGCATAAAATGTCTATATTTGCAAAATTATTTTAATAATTAATAAGTAGAATTCCGGGGTGCTTCGGTGGCTCACTGGGTTAAGCAGCTGCCTTCAACTCACGTTATGATCCCAGAGGTCCTGGGATCAAGCCCTACATAGGGCTCCCTGATCAGCTGGGAGTCTGTTTCTCCCTTTCCCTCTGCCCCACTGCCCAATTGTGTGCTCCATCTCTTTCTCTCTCAAATAAATAAATAAAATCTAAAAAAAAAAAAAAAAAAAGAATACCATTTAAACACATAAACATCAAATTCCAATAAAAGTTTCATGAAACAAACTTTTAAAAATATGCTGGATATTCTAAGAATAATAGTGTTGATCAGGAGAACTACCATCTTAACTTTTAATTTATAATCCTTTTCATTGTACCCTGACTTTGGATAAATTATTTTAGCTCATTTTATTAATTTATTTTTCTATTTACAAAATGATGTACTCTGGACACAGGGAGAGCCCAGGATTCTAGAAAACCTTTTTGTTTTTATTTTTTAATAGTTAAAATTTTTAAATTTTAAATTATTAAATTTAAAATATTTAAAAAATTTTTTTAATTTAAAAATTTTTAAGTAAACAAACTTTGTATTTTATTTTTTAAAAATAGGTAAACTTTTTTTTTACCTATTTTTGCTCATTTGGTAACAGTTGATAAAAACTCTCCAAAGTTAATGAACACTCTACCACCATGCAACGTGTAGTATCCCACTGTGTGGCTATATGTTAATATGTTTACTGGTCACTTGCTCTTAGATAGATTTGTGTTACTCTCAATTTTTTATTATTATAAATAACATTATGCTTCAATCTTCAATCAGCTACTTCCTTATGTAAAAAATGAGGGAATGAACAACACGGATTACATTTTTCTAGTGAAAGGTCTGATGTATCTATTTGGTAATTGCCTTCAATCTATAAAATGTTAAAAACATTTTTGGGGCAGTGAAAGACCAAAAAGTCTCGTAACTTTTTTTTTTTTAAGATTCTTTTCTTTTTTTCTTCTCTCTCTCTTTTTTTTAATTTAAAAAAAATTTTTTTAAGATTTTTTATTTATTTGACAGAGAGAGAGAGATCACAAGTAGGCAGAGAGGCAGGCAGCGGGGTGGGGGTGAGAAGCAGACTCCCCACCAAGCAGAGAGCCTGATGTGGGGCTCAATCCCAGAACCCCGGGATCATGACCGGAGCTGAAGGCAGAGGCTTTAACCCACTGAGCCACCCAGGTGCCCCCCTCTTTTTTTTTTTTTTTTTTAAGTAATCTCTACAACCAATGTGGGGCTCAAACTCATGACCTTGAGATCAAGAGTTGTATGTTGTTCTGACTGAGCCAACAGGTGCCCCAAGTCTCGTAACTTTTAAGGGTGAAAATCTTAACTTTTTTTGTGCAAGTCACACATAAAATACACAAATCAAATTTTAAGAAATTAACCAAAATTGTGAAAGCACTAAGGAAACGATGACCTATTTTCATCTTAGAAAAAAAAAGCTACGGGCGCCTGGGTGGCTCAGTGGATTAAAAAGCCTCTGCCTTTGGCTCAGGTCATGATCCCAGGGTCCTGGGATCGAGCCCTGCATCGTGCTCTCTGCTCTGCTCATCAGGGAGCCTGCTTCCTCCTCTCTCTCTGCTTCCTTCTCTGCCTACTTGTGATCTCTGTCTGTCAAATAAATAAATAAAATCTTTTTAAAAAAAAGCTAAAAGCACATTTTTAAAAATTATTTTTTAAATTTTATTTTAGAGAGTGTGTATTTGAGCGGGTGGGGAAATACAGAAGGAGAGAGAGAGAGAGAGAGAGAACATCAAGGAGACTACACACTCAGTGCAGAGCCCACTGTGGGGCTCAATCTTATGACCCTGAGATCATGACCTGAGCTGAAATCCAGAGCTGGACGCTTAACCAACTGAGCCACCCAGGCTAGAGCCCCAAATATAGAAAAAAAAGGATTTAGTGGGAAGGGAGTCAAGGATAATGTTGAAAGAGGCTAATGTTTTAGGGGCTCCTGGGTGGCTCATTCAGTTAAGCATCTGTGGGATAGAGCCTCACATCAGGTTCCCTGCTCAGTGGGGACCTGCTTCTTCCTCTCCCTCTGCCACTTCCACTGCTTTGTGTACTCTCTCTCTGTGTCAAATAAATAAATAAAAATCTTAACCAAAAAAAAAAAAAAAAAAAAGAAGCCATGTTTTAATGACTAACTTCTTGCCTTACTTGAGTGGGACCTGTATCCTCTTGTTTGCTGTTAGGCATAAACTGTCCAATAGATTGTGAAGAAGTACGTCTCTTTTTTGCTCGTTCAGTCAACCTATTATTTAAAAATGAATACAAAGTTATTAGAACTCCCCAGAAATACTTCTGTTTTAGCTTCAATAATGAAGAAGTTATATTGTGGTAGTCTAAAGTGTGAATAGTGAGTGGCCAAAATGCAATTGTGAGTGTGTAAGTGCCAACTGCTCTAAACAGGTAAAAACAGAGCAGAGAACAACTTGCTTATGGCTAACATCAGTGGTAAAAACCATATTGTGGGATTACTCTAGCTGGCCTACTTAGTCGCTTATATCTACTTTAAATCTGGAGCTCTCTCGCTCTCCCCCCTTTTGTTTTTCTTTAAGTAGGCTCTACACCCAACACAGGGCTTGAACTCACAACCCTGAGATCAAGAGTCATGTGCTCTACAGACTGAGCCAGCTGGGAGCCCATAAATCTGGCTCTCCTAACTACTGGGTTTCTGAATTTCTGAGTTTGCTGTCCCATTCTGGTTACAACTATGGCGACTGCAACCATGGTGTTGGGATCATCTCAAAAATGAATGGGCTCTTGCAGTCTGTAGTCTGCTGTACCTTTGGATTGACACAGAAATGTCCACTTGCCCATCTCTGCAGACCCCTCAGCTTCACAACTTACAGTCTAAACCAGTCTGCTAGTATTGGTTTGGGATACTGAAGGTAGTCTCCTTCCTCACGTAGATTCACAGTAGTTTCCCTAAATTTAGGACTGGCCCAGATGCCTTGCTAGATAGACCCTTGCTAAACAACACACTGCCCTTGCTTAAGCAGACTCATGGTACCAGTCTTACAATCTGTATCAGTAGCTAAATCTACAACTGGCCCAATATGTTGTTTTATTCCCCAAATATTTGACTTCCTAAGCTAACTGGCTGTAAAAGATTATTTTCAACTAGTCTTTCTCCATTTAGAAAATTTGCTATGACACAGACAAAATGCTTACTATGTTATACTAAGGCACATCAATACCAGACCCTAGATCACATCACCTTTTTCCTCTTCAGATGGGAGGAAATTATTCTGAGAGTCTTTTCTTTCTTAAATGAGGTTTTTCCAAAAACAATTAAATATCTAAATATCCAAAATATCCCAAAACAATTAAATATCTATATAAGCAAGAAAAACTAATTTCTTCTATAGTATTCTTAACAACAGTAATGGCGCATTGTATGATTATAATTTCAATATATCTTCAAATTCCGTTTACAAACAGACACCATGAACTTCAGTATTTGAAATACCATTATATAGGAGCATTTTGTTACTTAGATCCACTTCCTTCTCTTTCTTTTCTGTTAAACTCACCTTGAATTGGGATGGGAAAGATTTGAATTGGGATTTGAAGCCAACAAATTATTGCTCATTAGATTGATGGGTGGCATCATCATACTACCTCCAGCGTGTGGATCATCTTTCATGCCATTAGAATTAGTGCTGGGATTGACAGCATTTAGTGGTTCATTGATGACAGGTTTTGTATCTTGAGACATAGCATGAGCATTTTCAACAGCATCCTGTTGACAACGTCCACCTTCACACTCTGTCTTGTTTGGTTCTAAGATATCTCCTTTTCCTCCTTTGACTTTAATAACTCTGACTTTGATCTCCCTGGGCTTTTTCTCTTTTTCTATTTCCTGGAACAGATACATCCAACATCTGAGTCAGAAGAATAGTTATTTTTGATATGATATGATACAGTTATACCGGCTAAAAAGAAAACAGCTTTTACCTTTCCCAAAACTGGAGTACCAAGCAGTGATTTAGTATATGTTGTTTTTCTTTCATCTTTCATAAGGTCACTTTCTTTAGAATTCTCTTTTAGCTTTATGAATGAATTGACTTTTGCTTCTTGTAGTAATTTAGCTCTCAGTTCTGGTATGAATCTGATAAAACAAGCAATATCAACCAATAATCTTTTTTTTTTTTAAGATTTTATTTATTTATTTGACAGAGATCACAAGTAGGCAGAGAGGCAGGCAGAGAGAGAGAGAGAGGAGGAAGCAGGCTTCCTGCTGAGCAGAGAGCCCAATGTGGGGCTCGATCCCAGGACTCTGGGATCATGACCTGAGCCGAAGGCAGAGGCTTTAACCCACTGAGCCACCCAGGCGCCCCTCAACCAATAATCTTTTTATTTATGTAGATAAAGTATTTTATCTTTAGTGGACCATATAATCAATTAATTTACATATCTATAGCATAAATAAGCTATCAGTAATGAATGCCAAGAGATGGTATAATATTTAATACGAATTGCTTCCTGGTAGAGATATATCTTCCAAAAATTTTTTCATGGGAATTTACTATATAAAATTTTACAAAATAAGTTTATATGAATTAGATTCCTCTTGTGATGTAAAATTTACTCAATAAAAGTATTTTTCATTTTGATAAATTATTCTTTCAAGGAAAACTCAGGCCATTTAATCCTTTCTGTGGTTCTTTAAAGTTACATCTTAAAAGATGAACTAACTGGTTTCTGAAATCCTTATTCTAGATAAATATTTTTAGTACAAAAATTTAACAGAATATATTAATATTGAAGGGAGATTGTTTTGGTTGTGGTTTGAATTTTTAAGTTACCTATTTTTTATTAGAAAATCCATTCATATGGCTCAAAATTCAGAAGGCTATATTAAAAAGTCTCCTTCTTACCCTGCCCTGAGTTACACAGTTCCCCTCCCTGAAGCAACTATAATCATCAGTTTGGGGAAATTTAATTTAATTTAATTTAATTTTCATTAAGCTGCATACCGAGTATGGGGTTCAAACTCACCACCCCAAGATCAAGAGTCATGTGCTATACTGACTGAGACAGCCAGGTATCCCCTAGTTTGTGGAAATTTTAAAATATCATTCCATGAGTGAATTCTTCCCCAGTTTAGGCCAATCTTGCCAAAGCTGTGCAAGACACATGTCTAGAAAATTGTAGTGTGAAGAGATGAAGAAAACCACCAGTGTGATTCATTTAGCTGAATAAGAACATGTCATACTTCTGTCAAAACGCCCTTGTACTGCAGAAGGTTCTGGGAAAGGGAGAGGCCTCTTATCAAAGGAAAGGGACTTCCCCAAACATTTTCCGAGGATTCCATCATTGGAATTCAAGAATTTTCACCCATCATACTAAAATCTTAACATCTAAGAACCAAAGAGAAATCAATGTAGTCTATGTAGAACTGATATGAGCAACTTTTAAATTCAGTAATGGGCACTCTCTTCGTCAATGGCATTTTGAATATATCTTCTTCTCATTTTTTGTTGTTTTATATCAAAATTCTTGTTTTGTTCTATATTAAAATTCTTTTTTTTTTAAAGATTTTATTTATTTATTTGATAAAGAGAGACACAGCTAGAGAGGAATCACAAGCAGGGGGAGTGGGAGAGGGAGAAGCAAGCTTCCCACTGAGCTGGGAGCCTGATACAGGGCTCGATCCCAGGACCCTGGGATCATGACCTGAGCCGAAGGCCGATGCTTAATGACTGAGTCACCCAGGCACCCCTATATTAAAATTCTTAAAATGCTTAAAGTTCTAAGTACTCTAAAGTATTTTTTTTCCACCTTTTTCTAGTTCAGTCTATCTTCAATGGCTGTTCCTGGACTTTAACATGCCTAACTTTAAGTCCATCACATTTTAAAGTGACATTCATCTTTTCTGACCTCACATCCAAAGGTTAACTGAATGACTCTGTAATTAAAGAAAAAGAATTTCTGTTTCTTTCAAAGCCCAAACAGAAAACTCTGAGGTTTTGGTTGTTTGTTTGTTTGTTTGTTTGTTTTAGAAACACTGCTGATTCTAGCCAAAATATGGAAAAAGCCTAGATGTCCATTGACAAATGAGTGGATAAAGAGGTTCTGGTATATATACACTATGGACTATTATTCAGTCATTGAAAAGAATGGAATCTTGCCATTTGCAATGACATGGATGGAACAAGAGGGTATTATGCTGAGTGGAATGTCAGTCAGAGAAAGACAAATACTGTATGATTTCACTCACATGTGGAATTTAAGAAACAAAACAGAAGAACATAGGGGAAGGGAAGAAAAAAATAATACAAAATAAAATGAAAAGAGAGAAGGAGGCAAACTATAAGAGACTCCTAACTATAGGAAACTATAGGAAACAAACTGAGGGTTGCTAGAGGGGAAGTGGGGAGATGGGGTAACTGGGTGATGGGCAATAAGGAGGACATGGGATGGAATGGGCCCTGGGTGTTATACGCAACTGATGAATCACTAAACTCTACCCCTGAAACTAATAATACACTGTATGTTAACTAAGTTGAATTTAAATAAAAAATAATAAAAAAAAAGAAATACAGCTGACTTATAAATCTACATTGCCATTATACAGAAGGGCTAAAGGCATGTTCCCTCTCTTCAGGGAACTTCCACTTTGGTAGGGAGAATATGACAACAAACACTATAACAGAAAGTAAATAAAGCAGAGGAAAAAAAAATCATTTGGGAAATAAATGCCAATTGTAACATATAGGTCAGAGATGCTACCAGAAGAGGAAAAACCAGACTATTCTGAGTCAAAGGTACAAATGGGAATAAAGCTATTTATTGTTTATTTATTTATTAAAAATAAATAAAAAATTATTTATTAAAAATATATTATTTATTAAAAATATATTTATTTATTTATTTATTATTTATTTATTGTTTATTTATTTATTAAAGCTATTGATTGTTTATTTACTATCTGCAGGCCTATGATTACCATTGAAAATATGTATAAAGAGCTTAGCACACTGCCTAGGACATCATAACTGTAATGAATGTTAACTACAATTATTTTTATGGGTAGAATTTTCTTCATGACACCTGTAAGTCTACCATAGGCCTTGTTAATAAAGGAACTAAGTCTTTGTTAAATTGAATTTTTGTGTGTGTAACATTAACCTATGTAGCAATTCTCATGCTAGTAAATTCCCTAATATAAAACACTAAGAAGTCCACACTCACTCAACATGCTTACTTTTCAATAAATCCATCTCTAGTAAAGTACTCATGATGCAAAAGATCAGTAGATGATGTCCTTTCAGCAGGATCAATTTGTAAACAAGCCTAAAAAATGAAAAAAAGATTCTAACATTAAGTAAGTTCTTAACAGAGCTCTCTAAGGTAAAAATTAAATTTATTTGACATATGTAGAAGTAAATAATTACCTGGAACTAAAACCATTCTTGAAAAGATGGATTTAGAGCTTAGGAATTTCTGACAATGAGTTCTGACCATTTACTTCCCTAAGAAATTTGTACTTGCAAAGCATTAATATAGGTTATATGTCCTAGGATTCTGGCCAAAACAGAAGTCAGTCTGTTTCTGCTGGAAGTAGCAGAAATTAATTAGTTCATTTTGATCCTCTTATCAGCACTGTAAGGTGGAAAGTTCATGGATTATTATTTCCATTTTACCGAACTAGAAGAACAGTGATTTACTATATTATTAACTCATATTGTCTGAATCCTAATCCATTGCTTTTTCTTTTTCTTTTTTTTAAAGATTTTATTTATTCATTTTCGAGAGAGAGAGAGAACACAAGCAGAGAGAGCAGCAGGCAAAGTGAGAGGGAGAAGCAGACTTTCTGCTGAGCCAGGAGCCAGATGCGGTAGTCGATTCCAGGACCCTGGGATCATGACCTGAGCCAAAGGTAGCCAGCCGCTTAAAGAACTGAGCCACCCAGGCATACCTCCATTGCTTTTTTTATGGCATAATAGAACTTCACAAACATTCAAGCCCCCAAATCTTTCAATAATCCACTATGAGAACAGCTCTTTTTTTGTTTCCCTATCTTGGGAACATTCAACTGAATTAGAGAAACAAACAAACAAACAAAAACCCCACAAAACAAAACCGATGATGGAAGGAAGAGTTCTTAAAATAAGTTGAACATCATAAATTTATATATAATCAAATAACTAGTTGTAAATAGAAGATATTTTTAACCAAAATATTAAATATAGAATTTGAATAAAAGCCATTTGCCTTATAGTTTTCATTTATTCCTTTAGAAGAAGGCAAAACATAAGAAAAAGCAAAACATAGGGCACCTGGGTGGCTCAGTGGTTAAAGCCTCTGCTTTCAGCTCAGGTCATGATCTCAGGGTCCTGGAATCGAGTTCCGGATCAGGCTCTCTGCTCAGCAGGGAGCCTGCCTCCTCCTGTCTCTCTCTGCCTGCCTCTCTGCCTACTTGTGATCTGTCTGTCAAATAAATAAAAAAAATTTCTTTAAAAAAAAAAAAGAAAAGAAGAAGCAAAACATAATAATAATTGGTAACTTTTATTGATGTTTACTGTGTGCCACACAATACTCTACCTGGCTTTTTCTTATAACTTGATGCCAACAACAACCCTACAGGTAGGTATTATTATTATCCCCATTGTACAGACAAGGAGACTGAGCCCCAGAGAAATCAAGTAATTTGTCTAGATCAAACAAACAGAAGAGTAGAATTAAAATCCAGAAAATTCAAGGTAATTGAATATAATGTTACATTTTTGTTTATTTTAAAATTTTTATGTTTAAATTGATTCAGGAAAAAAGTTGTAAAGATCTGCTATACAACAATATGAATAGAGCTGACAGTACTGTTCTACACATTTTGAAATTTGGTAAGAGGGTAGATTTCATGTTATGTGGTTTTTTTTTGTTTATTTTGTTTTTTGTTTTTTAAAGATTTTATTTATTTATTTGACAGAGATCACAAGTAGGCAGAGAGGCAGGCAGAGAGAGGAGGGAAGCAGGCTCCCCGCTGAGCAGAGAGCCCGATGCGGGGCTCGATCCCAGGACCCTGAGATCATGACCTGAGCTGAAGGCAGAGGCTCAACCCACTGAGCCACCCAGGCGCCCCAATGTTATGTGTTTTTTTATCACAATAAAAATATATTGACTCACAAAGCAAAATTGAGTTCATTATCTATTTTATGATGGGAGAATACCCAGACCCTTAAAACTGCAACTAGCTAACAATATGTGCTTATTTTATAATATGATAATAATCCATCAATAAAACTTAGTTAAGTACATATTGGAGCGCCTGGGTGTCTCAGTTGGTTAAGAGTCTGCTTTCAGGGACGCCTGGGTGGCTCAGTTGGTTAAGCAGCTGCCTTCGGCTCAGGTCATGATCCCAGCGTCCTGGGATCGAGTCCCACATCGCGTTCCTTGCTCAGCAGGGAGCCTGCTTCTCCCTCTGCCTCTGCCTGCCTCTCTCTCTGCCTGTGCTCGCTCTCTCTCTCTCCCTCTGTCCCTGACAAATAAATAAATAAAATCTTTAAAAAAAAAAAAAAGAGTCTGCTTTCAGCTCAGGTCATGATCCCAGAGTTCTGGGATTGAGTCCCACATTGGGCTCCCTGCTCAGTGGGGAGCCTGCTTCTCCCTCTGCCCCCTCCCCCCCCCCCAACACACTCATGGTGTCTCTCTTTCTTGGAAAAATAAATAAGTAAAATCTTTTTTAAAATGTTATAAATTCAAAAAAAAAATGTTAAAAATTCTGCCCAAGTCATAGCCTACTATAGGCAGATAAATTAGTCCTTCTTTGAATAATATAATTAGAAAATTTAAATACATGCCTTAGTTTGGAAAATATAAGATACTATACTTTGAGAAACAGACAGGCAGTTTCTTTAAAAATTAAACATACACATACTTTAAACCCACCATTCCACTCTTAGGTATTTACTCAGAAGAATAAAAATATACATCTACAAAGACTTGTACATGAACATTCCTATTAATTTTGCTTGTAACAGCCAAAAATAGGAAACAACCCAAAACAGGAGAATAGACTAAAAACAGTTGTATATCCTTATAATGGAGTCCTACTCAGTAATAAAAAGGAATCAGCTACTGATACCTACAAAAACATGAATGAATCTCTAAACCTTAATGCTGAATCAAAGAGTATATACTATGTAATTCCATATATATATCCTAGAAAATGTAAACTAATCTATAGTGATAGAAAGCAACTCAGAGGTTGTCTGGGAACATAAATGGAGTCATAAGAGGATTGAAAAAGGATAAGAGGACATTTTAGAGTTTGATGGAAATGATAGCTATCTTGATTGTGGTGGTGGTTTTATAGGTATAAAAATCTATCAAAACTCATCAAATTATGCATTTTAAGTATGTTTAGTTTACTATACATAATTACATCATGATAAAGTTTAGAAAATTTAAACCTAGAAAATGATATAAGCTCTGACCCAGATATTAAGATGGATTTTAAAGTCACAATAATCAATCAAACTGGTATTTATACTAGAATTAAAAAAGAAATAAATGAAATAGAAACAAACCCAAGCACATGTAAGCATTTTGCCTATGATAAATGTGGCACTCCAAGACACTGGATTACTCAAGTTGAAGATAATATTTACAACACATATGACAAAAGACTAATATGCCTATTATTTTACAAATCTATATGGGAAAAGGTTAGTCCAATTGACAAATAGTTTAATGATTCTTTTTTTTTTTTAAGATTTTATTTATTTATTTGACAGATGGAGATCACAAGTAGGCAGAGAGGCAGGCAGAGAGGCAGGCAGAGAGAGAGAGGAGGAAGCAGGCTCCCTGATGAGCAGAGAGCCGGATGCGGGACTCTATCCCAGGACCCTGGGATCATGACCTGAGCCGAAGGCAGAGGCTTTAACCCACTGAGCCACCCAGGCGCCCCTAGTTTAATGATTCTTAAAACAAGAAATACAAATGGTCAATTAGTATTAGTAAAATGTTCAACCTTTCCTGTGATCATATAAGCGCAACTAAAAAAAAGATGGTATTTTAAACTTACTAAATTGGCAAATATTTTGGGGTGCCTGGTTGGTTCAGTTGGTAGAACATGATAACTCTTGATCTTGGGGCCATGAGTTTGAGTTCCACATACGGTATAGAGATTACTAAAAAAAAATTACTAAAAAAAAAACTAAATAAAAACTATAATATCCATTGCTAGATTGAGAGTGGGACTTTATATCCAGTGCTACTTGAAAGTACTTGAGTATAAATCAGTGAAACCTTTCTGGAGGGAAAAATAGCAAAATATATTAAAAATTCTGAAAAAGTATAAACCCTGTGGCCCACTAATCACAATTCTAGGAATTTATCCTAAACAAATAATAAAGCAAGTTCAAAAAGACATTTTAAAAGATGTTCACAAAATCATATCTACCAAGAGGGAGAAAACCTGAAAACAAATATTCAAAATTGTAAGATCAGTTAAACTATAGAACAATCTTACAACGAAATACTATGTAACCATTGAAAAATATGATGTGGTTCCATATTTACTGTCAGGGTTACATAACAAACAGGTCACAAAACTATGTGAAGTATGTCATCTTTTAAAAGCATAAATTTCTATGCACATATTTGGTTGGCAAAAGTCTAGAAGTATATAAATCAAAATGTCACTAATTTTTCCCAGAATCTGGGAGTTGGGAAAATCTTAACTTCTTCTTTTTGTTTATCATGTATTCTCTACTTTTTCTATAATCATTATGTAGTCCTTGTATAATTAAACCCATGACATAAAAAATAAATTCAAAGGAAAATGTAGCAAACAAATCTAATTCTTTTATTTTTTTAAAGAAATTTTATTTACTTCTTTGAGAGAAAGAGAGAGAACAAGAATGGGGGTAGGAGAGGGACAAGCAGACTACATTCTGAGTGGGAGCCCACTGTGGGGTTCAATCCCAAGACCCCGAGATCATGACCTGAACCAAAAGCAAAAGTCAGATGATCAACCAACTCAGCCACCCAGCACCCCTGATTCTTTTTTTAAAGATTTATTTATTTATTTTAGAAAGAGAGTGAGCATGAGTGGGAGGGGAGAGGGAGAGGAAAAGAGAACCTTAAGCAGACTTTGCACTGAGCACAGAGACTAATGTGGGGCTCAATCTCATGACCATGAGAGCACGATCTGAACAGAAACCAAGAGTCAGAGGCTTAACCAACTGAGCTATGCAAGCATCTTGAGAGAATCTCTCTCTCTCTTTTTTTTTTAAGAATCTATTTATGTATTTATTTATTTATTCATTCATTCATTTGAGAAAGAGAGGGAGAGAGCACAGAGGGAGTGTAAAACGGAGAAGTAGACTCCCCACTGAACAGAGAGCCCAATGAGGGACTCGATCCCAGGACCCTGAGATCATGACCCAAGTCAAAGGCAGATGCTTAAACTGACAAACCATCCAGGTGCCCCCTGAGAGAAAGAATCTTTTTTTTTTTTTTTTAAGATTTTATTTATTTATTTGAAAGACAGAGATCACAACTAGGCAGAGAGACAGGCAGAGGGAGAGGAAGGGAAGCAGGCTCCCTGCTGAGGAGAGAGCCCAATCCCAGGACCCTGGGATCATGACCTGAGCTGAAGGCAGAGGTTAACCCACTGAGCCACCCAGGCGCCCTGAGAGAAAGAATCTTAAGCAGACTCCTTGCTGAGTGTGGATCCCACCATGGGGCTCAATCTCACAATCCTGAGATCATGACCTGAGACAAATCAAGAGTTGGGACACTCAACTGACTGAGCCACCCAGGCGCTCCAAAGAATCTGATTCTTAATAAACTCTAGTTTTCTCCAGATACCAGTGAAATAATTTTTTCTGTTAAGAATTCCTTTAAGAATACTCTTTCGATGCTATATATCATATGTTTAGTAAGTTTATCTAAGTAACAACAGCAACAATTAAAATTAACCACATTTGTCGACAACTTATTCAAGGCCCTGTGCTCAGAACATTTTCACCATTACCTCATTTAATCTTCCAGCCCCAGAAAAATAAAGACCATTAACGTTACTTTATAGCCCAGTAAACTGGGCACAAAGATTAAGTGACTTTCCCAAGGTTACAGAGCTAATTAGTGACAGAGCTGAGTTTTAGTCTATGTGATTCCAGAGCCCCGTCTTATAAACACTACACCATACTTGCTTTGAAATTTAGGTAACTACATTTTTTAAAGGGGCTTTACATCAGAAATAAGATACCTCAGTTGACCCTGGGAAAGGAAATTAACTAGATAGAGAAAATAAATAGAAGCAGATTTACTTTCCACAGTAAATTCTCTTACTTTTTGAATTTTGCTCTAAATATATTGGTAAACTTATTACCTAGTTTAAAAAGAAATTTACATTTTAAAATAATTAGAAAATGTTCTAGTATAACGCTTTTGTTTTCTCCAAACCCCAAGTGAATTTTGGCATTAGTATACCTTCAAACAACACTAAAACTGCAGTGGTCAATGCCCGGTAGATATCTCAGGATACCAGTGTACAAGGAACAGAGCCCTAACTTGGATAGACTGACTATTAAAAGGTGGTGATAAGCATGGTAAGTCCTGGTAAATCCAGTCCATGGTAAATCCTTCTGATTTTTCCAGTTTACCCCTAAGTATCGTTAAAATTGGGATAAACTAAAAATAATGGACAGGATTATCCTAGGGAGTTTTCAGTTCTAACAGTCTATTAATTTTAATTTTTCTGTACTAAAGATGTAAAGACAGGAAGATAGTAACTTCTAACAGATAACATTATGAATCCTTTCAGAATTTCATTAAAGTAATATCTTAAAACTGTATTATAATTTACGCAAATTTCCCAGAAATAAGTTCTTAATTCTTAACATACATGAACTATATCTGCCAACAATCCATTTAACTTTGGGTATTTTTTCCTTGCATTTTTGGGGTGTTGAACTTGAGGAAGGACCAGCCCAGCAAAAATGGGACTCTTGGAAAAGATATTCTGTAAGTGAGGTGTCAAGTTGCCTGAAAAGAGAAAAAAAATACGAATATAAGAAAACAGAGAAATTAATCTACAATCGAAATAAACAAATTGTGGGGTGCCTGTGTGGGCTCAGTCATTAAGCATCTGCCTTCTGGGCTTCCTGCTCAGCAGAAAGCCTGCTTCTTCCTCTCCCACTCGCCCTGCTTGTGTTCCCTCTTTCACTGTGTCTCTCTCTGTCAAAAAAATAAATAAAATTCTTAAAAAAAAAATAAACAAATTGCTGTGTGGTCTGCATTAGATTACTAAAAAAGAAGAAGAACAATTATGTTCTTTTAATTTTTTAAGGTTGAACAAGAAACTATCTGAATATAGCACAAAAATTGGAAGTTTCCCCAGTAATCTGTTGATAGCATGTAGGCAGTAGAAAATTTAAAACCACCAGGTTCATTTTCATTTCCCAAAATATAAGACATAATATATAATGCTATCAGGAAAAGCAAACCTTTACATATTTCCATATGGGTATCTAAATAGCCTAACAAATGTTATCAGCAAAGCCTTACTCAAAACAGCTAAAATATCTAAATTATTTAGAAACAGAAATATTGCAAAGAAACAAGGCTATAGAGTAGCAGTAGAATGAAAAGAACAGTAAACAGGAGTGGAGAGAGCTAAGTTCCAGCGCCAGTTTCGTTATAACTATTTCTGTGGCCTTGGGCAAATATCTTCCCTTTCTATGCTTCAGTTTCTTTATATGTAAAATGACAGAATTAATCCCATCATCTCTAACATCTTCTAACATTACTCTCAAAACCAGAACATTAAAGGTGACCAAAAAAGGGTGATGCTTTAAGACTCCAAACTGTATCTGTTGTTAATATTTATCCAGACTTCATGATTTTCATAGTTGCTCCAGTACCTTCCTCATGATCCTGTAACTACATGTTTATGTATAGCTTCTCTACCACAAAAGGAGCTCCTCAAGCGCATCATACCCAGCAATTGCACTACTGGGTATTTACCCCAAAGATACAGATTTAGTGAAAAGAAGGGCCATATGCACCCCATGTTCATAGTAGCAATGTCCACAATAGTCTAACCATGGAAAGAACGGAGATGTCCTTCAACAGACGAATGGATAAAGAAGATGTGGTCCATATACACAAAGGACTATTACTCAGCCATCAGAAAGGATGAATACCCAACTTTTTTATCAACTTGGATGAGACTGGAGGAGATTAAGTTATGTGAAATAAGTCAAGCAGAGAAAATCAACTATCATATGGTTTCACTTACTTGTGGAACATAAGGAATAGCATGGAGGACATTAGGAGAAGGAAGGAGAAAATGAAGGAAGGGAAATCAGAGGAGGGGGAGACGAACCATGACAGACTATGGACTCAAAGAAACAAACTGAGGGTTTTAGAGGGGAGGGAGGTGGGGGAATGGGTTGGCTTGGTGACGGGTATTAAGGAGGGCACAGATTGCATGGAGCACTGGGTGTTATATGCAAACAATGAATCATGGAACACTACATCAAAAACTAATGATGTACTGTATGGTGACTAATATAACATGATAAAAAAAGAAATACATTTTTAAAAAATCACTGAAACTCCATGAGCAAGGCTAACTAACCATCAAGATGTTTGCGTATTCATTCAAAGTAGATCATTAAAAAAGTATAAGCGCTCATCAAATGTATTTTTGAATAAGTTATTTAATTACCTGGATATCTACAGTGGTTTAAAAAAAAGTTATCTCGATAAGTAACTTTCCATCTCTAAGTGCTTCAAAAAGATACCTAAATCAACTCTATTATTTAAAAGTCCTCTTAGAGAGATGCAAAAATATATAGATGCCAAAAAAAGTTTTTTTAGGATTTTATTTATTTATTTGACAGAGAGAGACAGTGAGAGACCACAGCAGGGGGAACGGCAGAGGGAGAGGGGGAAGCAGGTTCCCCACTAAGCAGGGAGTCCCATGCCAAGCTTGATCCCAGGACCCTGAGATCATGACCTCAGCAGAAGGCAGATGTTGAAAAAAATTGAACCACCCAGGCACCCCTACAAGTCAAAATTTTAAAACAACTTTCAGACAAATTGAAGTAGGTTTCTACTGTACCATTTTTCTTACTATCAACCATTAGCAAATGACTTAGCTATTTGCAATCTGGCTAAGAAAATGCTATTTACAAAAACAGAGAAGAATTTTCTACCTTCCTTAACAGCCCAAAGCATACACCTGCTGCCATCTATCAAAAAGTAGCTTCCCCATTCATATAAAGAAAAAACTGAATTTGAAAATCAAGCAGAATTGATAAAGCAATATTTACTTTAAGCATTTAACAGTGTATTTCAGTAGTACCCACCTACTTTTAAAACAATTTTATGAAGTAAATCCAAATCAGAGCAGCTAGGAAGATAGGGGTTTCCAGTGGCCATCTCAATGATCATACAACCCAAAGCCCAGATATCTACAGGTCTGAAACAAACAAGAATAAATCATTTTTTATGGAAAAATTTATAAAATGTCTCTTTTTTATGATTTTATTTATTTATTTGAGAGAGAGCATGAGTGGGGTGAGGGGCAGAGGGAGAAGCAGACTCCCCACTGAGCAGGGAGCCCAACATTAGCTTGATCCCAGGACTTTGGGATCAAGACCTGAACCAAATGCAGACGCCCAACCAACTGAGTCACCCAGGTGTCCCTAAAATATCTCTCCTAAAAAAATTTTTTTTTAAGATTTTCTTTATTTTAAAGATTTTATTTATTTGACAGAGATCACAAGTAGACAGAAGTAGGAAGAGAGAGAGGGAGAAGCAGGCTCCCCGCTGAGCAGAGAGCCCGATGTGGGGCTTAATCCCAGGACTCTGGGATCATGACCTGAGCCGAAGGCAGAGGCTTAACCCACTGAGCCACCCAGGTGCCCCTCTTCTAAAATTTTTTTTAAATAATGTTCCAGCCAAAGAAAAAAATAATGATTAGGCAGTATCATTAATAAATTTTCATCTTAATATCATATGCCAACTTTAGGATATATATTAAATATTGCCACATTTTATTAATATATTAAATATCTTATATTTAAATCAAATGAGAAGCCATGTAGTAGTTCAGATGAAAAGTAACTATAATTCTAAAATTGTGGGGCACCTGGGTGGCTCAGTGGTTAAAGCCTCTGCCTTCAGCTCAGGTCACGATCTCAGGGTCCTGGGATCGAGCCCCGCATCGGGTTCTCTGCTCAGCAGGGAGCCTGCCTCCTCCTCCTCTCTCTCTGCCTGCCTCTCTGCCTACTTGCGATCTCTGTCAAATAAATAAATAAAATCTTTAAAAAAAAAAAAGTTGGATGCTTAACCACCTGAGCCACCCAGGCGCCCTGAGAGAGAGGATTACAGGGAGACTCTGCAGTGAGCACAGAGCCCGACATGGGTCTCAATTTCATGACCCAAAGATCATGACCAAAGCTGAAATCAGGAGTTGGAGACTTAATGAACTGAGCCACCCAGGGGCCCCTAGTCTTAGTTTGGTGAGGTGGGCTTTAGCACAAGTGACTCCATTTGGGGCCAGTTGTCTCTTTTTTAACAATATAAACTTTAGAATCAATTTGTTGATATCCAAATTGGATTTTGGCTGGCATTGCATTCAATTTATAGATCAGGTTGGAAGAGCTGATGTTTTGACAATATTGAGTCTTCCTTTTTGTGAACACACAATATCTCTCCATTTATGTACATGTTCTTGGATTTATTCAGTGAATTTTGCTTTTTTCGCTTGAGAGTTTATCTTGGAGATCAATTTATATTAGCATATACCTCCTTTTTGATAGCTGAATAATATTTCATAATGTGGGTGTATAAAATATTACATAGCAGTTTTCATATTGAAGGATGTTTAGGTTGTTTCCAATTTTTTTCTACCCCAAACAATGCTTCTGGAATTCTCATATAATTTATCTTTGTGCACATGGGTGAGTAGATCTTTGGTTACATTCCTAGGAATAAAGTTGTTTGGTCAAAAGTAGGTACATTTTTTTTTTAAGATTTTATTTATTTATTTGTCAGAGAGAGAGAGAGAAAGCATGAGAGTGAGCACAAGCAGATAGAGTGGCAGGCAGAGGCAGAGGGAGAAGCAGGCTCCCTGCTGAGCAAGGAGCCCGATGTGGGACTCGATCCCAGGACGCTGGGATCATGACCTGAGCCAAAGGCAGCCGCTTAACCAACTGAGCCACCCAGGCGTGCCGGTACATTTTTTAAAAAAGATTTTATTTACTTATTTGACAGATCACAAGTAGGCAGAGAGGCAGGCAGAGAGAAATGGGGAAGCAGGCTCCCTGCGGAGCAGCGAGCCTGATTTGGGGCTCAATCCCAGGACCCTGAGATCATGACCTGAGCTGAAGGCAGAGGCTTTAACCCATTGAGCCACCCAAGCGCCCCAAGTAGGTACATTTTTAATTTTGGTCACTTTTGTCAATTTTCCCTTTGAAGAAGTCGTATGGTTTACACTCCCAGGATGGTACACAGGAGTGTTCATTTTCCATGGCTTCACCAATATAGCAGTTATTGAACCTTACAATTTTTATCAGTTGGGTCAGTGAAGGATACAGCTCACTGTAGTATTTATATTTCTTCTGAATGTGAGATTTTTTGGCTCCTTTTTATCTATTTAAAATTCCTAGTCAGCGGGGGGATGCCTGAATGGCTTAGTCAGTTGAGCATCTGACTCTTGGTTTTGGCTAATGTTGTGATCTCAGGGTTCGGGATTGAACTCCATGTTCGGTTCCCCACTCAGTGCAGAGTCTGCTTGAGATTCTCATTCTCTCTTTCCCTACTCCCCTCATTCCCTCACTCCCCTCCCTAAAATAAATAAATCAATCTGAAAAGAAAAAAAAGGTCCTAGTGGGTGCCTGGGTGACTCAATCAGTGGAGGATTTGACTCTTGATCTCAGGGTTGTTAAGTTCAAGCTCTATGTTGGATGTAGAGATTACTTAAAGAAAATAAAATCTTTAGAAGTCTAGTGATATACGTTATCTTTAAAAAACTGATTATGTGTCAAAAAGTTAGATTTATGGGTGACTCATAATACAAGGTAAATAAATGTGGGTGCCTGGCTGACAAAGTTGGTAGAGCATGTGACTCTTGATTTCACGGTTATGAGTTTAAGCCTCAAATTAGGCATGGAGTCTACTTTAAGTAAATTAATTAATTTAAAAAAGATAAATAAGTGTAAATGGTAAAGTATTAAAGATTTTTAAATTTTACTTTTTAAAAAAAAAATATTTTATTTATTTATTTGACAGACAGAGATCACAAGTAGGCAGAGAGGCAGGCAGAGAGAGGAGGAAGCAGGCTCCCTGCTGAGCAGAAAGCCCGATGTGGGACTCGATCCCAGGACCCTGGGATCATGACCCGAGCCGAAGGCAGAGGCTTTAACCCACTGAGCCACTCAGGCGCCCCAGCATCCAACTCTTGAATTTGGCTCAGGTCATGATCTCAGGGTTCTGGGATGGAGCCCTGCTTCCAGCTCTTGGCTTAGCAGAGTCTGCTTGAGATTCTCTGCTTCACCTCCGGCTCATGTGCTCTCTCTTTCTCAAATAAATAAGCTCTTTCAAAGAAAATAAATTCTCTCTCTCTTTCTCTCTCTGCCCCTCCCCTGGCTCGTGCTCTTTCTCTCTCTAAAATAAATAAATGAATAAACAAAATCTTCTTAAAAATACTTAATTAGCGGTGCCTGGGTGACTCAGTGGGTTAAGCCGCTGCCTTCGGCTCAGGTCATGATCTCAGTGTCCTGGGATCGAGCCCCGCATCAGGTTCTGGAGCCTGCTTCCTCCTCTCTCTCTGCCTGCCTCTCTGCCTGCTTGTGATCTCTCTCTGTCAAATAAATAAATAAAATCTTTAAAAAAAATACTTAATTTCAACTTCTCCCAGAAGTGGACTCTTAAACCAGTCAATCTGGATTTACATGGTCAGCACTAGTAAGGTAACCTGCCTGACAGAACCCTGCTATCCCCTAAAGGAAGGTGACCTTACCACAAACAATCTACTCTTTACTAGTAACTGCCTTGTTCTGCCCCATTCTACCTATATAAGTCTTTCCATTTTGTACAGCCCCTCAGTGTCTCTTTCTGTCTGCTAGATGGAATGCTATCTCATTCACAAATCATTGAATAAAGGTATTAAGATCTTTAAATTTTACTCAGCTGAATTTTGGTTTTTAACAATATGGAAAAGCAATAGACCCAGAATAGCCAACACAATGTTGAAGAACAAAGTCAGAGGAAAGATACTACCTGACTTCAAGACATATTATAAAGCTACAGTAATCAAAACAGTATGGTATTATTGAAAAAATAAACAGATCAAGAGAACAGAATATAGAGTCGAGAGACTCACAAAATATATTCAACTAAACTTTGAAAAAGAAAATTCAGTAGAGAACAGAATGTCTTTTCAAAAAGTGATACTGGAGCAACTGTCATCCATGAGTGAGGATGTCAGGATCCTGAGATTGAGCCCTTAGTCAGGATCTGCACTCAGTGTAGAGTCTGCTTGTCTGTTCGTTCCTCTCCCTCTGTCCCTTTGCCCCCCACCCCCCACTGTCTATCTGTCTCTCTGTCTCTTTCTCTCTCAAATAAATAAATAAATAATCTTAAAAAAAACTATTGCACTAATTGATATTTAGCCAGATGAGTTATACGAAGTTATATGAAGAACTTATATCCACCGAAAAACCTGCACATGAATGTTTCCAGCAGCTTTATTCATAACTGCAAAATGCCCTTCATTAGATAAAAGGATAAATAAATTGTCAAATAAACATACAATGGAGTACTATTTAGTGATTTAAAAAATGACTATTGAGGGCGCCTGGGTGGCTCAGTGGGTTAAAGCCTCTGCCTTCGGCTCAGGTCATGATCCCAGGGTCCTGGGATCGAGTCCCGCATCCGGCTCTCTGCTCAGCAGGGAGCCTGCTTCCCTTCCTCTCTCTCTGCCTGCCTCTCTGCCTACTTGTGATCTCTGTCTGTCAAATAAATAAATAAAAAATTAAAAAAAAATGACTATTGAGACATAAAGCAAAACAAAACCAAAAAATGAAGGAAACTTAAATACACATTGCTAGGTGAAAGAAGCCAGTCTGAAAATGCAGTATAACATATGACCCCAAACACATGACATTCTGGAAAAAACAAGAGTATAGAGACAGTAAAAAGATCAGTAGTTGCCAGAAATTCAGGGAGGAGGAGGAAAGGATGAAAAGATAGAACACAGAGGATTTCTAGGGGCGTGGAAATATTCTGTATAATACTGTAATAGTGGATAAATGACTTTATGCAGTTGTCAAAATCCATAGGAATTCAACACAAAGAGTGAACTTTAATGTAAACTATGGATTACATTAACTATGGATTATAATTAACAATAATACATATATAATGTTTTATCAATCTTTTTTAAAGATTTTTTTTAAGATTTTTTATTTATTT